TCGAAATTCTGTCATGGTATCATATGTCCTCCACCAACTGCACATTAAATGTCAGAATAACATTGTTTGCTTTACATTAATAGGGTTTTCAAGGGCATTTCTTGCCTGTTACCCTTAAATATATATATATATATATATAAGAGTCTGTAGGGTATCCTGCCTTGCACGTAAGAGAAAAGTGTTCATTGAAAAGAATAGAAGCATGTGCGTCGATGCGATAGAAAAGATCCAGCTGTACGGTTTATTCGGGGTTAAAATTCGGAGAGTGTCATGCTTAGCATTCAGAAATATGTGCGTCCGCTTTGAAACATCTTCGTTGTTCGTAAAAGCAAGTACTTGCCTATTGACACGTCACCAGCTTAACATACGAACCATGTGCTTGCAAGATATGTTATAGCCAGATATGCCTTAATTCCATATATAATTGCTACCTATCAGAGCCATGAACCTAAAGAAAAATTTTCATCATGTGTTATTTGAAATATTTCAACGCTCTTATTAAGAACAATCGAAGTAGGTATTTTATTCCATTCCTGAATCACCTGATAGGAGGAGAAGTTCATCCTCACCCCAAGGTTTGCGTAGCATGTCTTTTGTTTTTATTGGTAAAATCAGAGTTGCTCCTCCGTTATCAGTCGGAAAAAATAGTCATCTGAACAGTACAGTCTGCTCCTCTAACGAGCTCCTCTTGGCTCCCCTCTCTATTGCTAATAGGAGAGAGGGAAACTCATAAACTCATAAATTAGATACCCCAATCCACTGAATAGTTTGGTCTTCCTCATTTTAACTAGCTCAAACAGAGTGTAATCCTTATTTATCCAGGGAACGCAATATTCTAAGGACAGTTGAACTTTGAGCTTTGTTTTTCTGCGCATTTCTCTTAGCCACGAATTCACGTGTAGCGGCACCACCTGTTGCGTCCTTGAGCTTTTACGCGTGTTGCTGTACCTACGCTAAACATCGTTCAAAGCCCGAAAATTAGTTGTAACTGGCGAATATTCTTTAGTGTTTGCATAAAATGGACTTAGTCGCAATAACTGATGCCGTAGGTAAAATGTTGGATCCTCTAACACCCAACAATATTCGTGCCAAATGCATTCAGGTATGGTAAACTTCATCATCCATATGTTTTAGCTGACTGAGGATTATAAAGAACACGATTTTTGTATTAATCATCTTCAAAGTTTTTGTGACGAAAACCAGAGTGCACCGGCTGTGATATTTGGATTGCGATGTCTTGAACATCGAGTGAAGTAAACTTGCTTAATTCATTATTTAATAATCAGACGTTCTTGGGCTGAACTAGCTGCTTCCGAAAAACTAGCAATTAAGGAAATGGTTTGCATTTGTGTCTCGAACGTAAGTTATTAAAATGTTTATTCATCAATCTGTTAGCTTCACAAACTGAACAGCTATAACGCCGAGGGCAATGCGATTAGTCTTGTACTTACGCAGATTCTGGTCCATATAATCAAGTGTGAATGGCCGCAGCAGTGGCCGTCAATGATTGAGGAGTTCAGCTCTTTGGGTCACTCAGGCGTAAGTTGCATTCTGATTACTAATCTGTGAAGGCACCCCAGGCATTTATAGTGTTTGATACTTTTCTGCGCCTTTCAGAAGATGTATTATATTTTCAAGACGTTCCACCAAAACGTCGAAGAGAAATCTGCTCCAGTTTATCTGAAAATCTTCCCCCGCTTGTCGGGCTTGCACTTGACACAATTTTCTTGTCAACAGAAGGAAAGTTATTCACCGTACGCATTTTCGTTTCTGAAATGTGATCTATCCTAGGAAGCTTATTTTGAACCCGAGGCAGTTCGCATGATTCGTGCAGCCCTTCAGTTTCTGAGCGGGTTTTTCGAATGGGCTCCTATTGTTTCTTTCATGGATTGGAAACCACCCAAAGACTTCCCATTTACGATGCAGACTGTGCCTAGCGTCTACTTGATGCTAAGTCTACTTCGAGTTAACGCATTTAAAGTTGAAGTCGCCGACCTACTTTCAGTTCTTATTGTTAAAAAACGTTCACTTTTCACTGGTGCGAAGGACGTCGAAACCACATCTGTTTACTCGGCCTTCATCGCCTTTTCGGAAGACCCGGCCTCAGATCCGGTGACATTCTTACATGACACAACAAGGTACCCGACAAATCTTCGCAAAAGTAGCTTTGACCCTAAACTCCTTCATGTACTTTTTCTTTTTTCTTTGTTTGTGCACCCTTTCATACCAGTTTACTGTCTTTTAGGGGCTTAAGTTCCCAAGTATCTTATACTGGTGTCAATGCAGTTGTACTCTCTCTTTCCTCATCAAACTACTATAAAATTATTGCACTATCTCCACATTTTTAATGTCCTTTTCTCTTGTTTGTCAAGCAAGAATATGAACTATGTTTAGTCCGAAATCAGTAAATTAGGTTCGCTCTAGGAACTGATTACTTATATGCTGTACTGTAATTCTTGCTTCACTCTAGAATTACTTATTCCATCGAACAATATACACAAGAATCAGGTGTTTTTTTGCAACGCTGGACTGAGTTCCTTGTCTTTCTCGGTGTCCAAGTTGTCGAGAATTGGTCTGAGATTTTAGCCAAACAACCGAATGCACAATCTCGTGTCCAAGGCACTTTTGAGCTTCTGTTCCATGCCGTCCTTCTGACTGCTTCCCATCCTACTCGTGTATGTATATTTTTGTCTCTTTCTAAACCAGAGTTCAAAGAGCATAGTTTTATTCATTTTTTGATTCCTGCTCACCGTCGACTTTCGACTATTTTAAAAG